GCGATCTGGGCCTTCCGGGTAACTCCCCCCAGTTTATCTACTGGGCATGTCGTGCTGTGGTATGGAATAACCCTTTGGCCAGTTTGGGTCAGGTGTCCTGTCTCTGCTTCCTCCTGGCTTCCCCTCCTCCCTGGCAGAGCATGAGACTGAGCAAGTCCTTGGTTGGAGTAAACATTACTTAGCAACAACTCAAAACGTTGTTATCACCATTGTTCCCAGGCTGAAAGTCAAAACCACAGCACTGCACCAGCTACTAAGAAGGAGAAAAAAATGACTGCTGTAGCTGAACCCAGGACAGTATCATAGAATCATAGAATAGTTAGGGTTGGAAAGGACCTTAAGATCAGCTAGTTCCAACACCCCTGCCATGAGCAGGGACACCTCACACTCAACTATGTCCCCCAAGGCTCTGTCCAGCCTGGCCTTGAACACCTCCAAGGTTGGAGCACTCACAACTTCCTTGGGCAAACTATTCCAGTGCCTCACCACCCTCACTGTGAAGAACTTCTTCCTTGTATCTAACCTAAACTTCCCCTGTTTAAGTTTAAAGCCATTAAAGTATCCTTAGTGTAACTCTGACATTCCTTGCTGAGTGTTTTAAGAGCTTTGATAACAGGGATCGAAAATGCCACAAGTAGGCTAAAAGCTGAATTGGAGCTGGATTGCTCTTCTGGGATATGGAAACCTCCAAGTCCTTCTCAGTCTGGGGAAGGCCTAGAGCCCAAATCTAGTTTTTGTGGCGGGGAGGGGGGAAGATATTCTAATCATTGTTATGTATCAAAGAAAACCACTTGGACAAATGGACTGTTTGCCTGACTCAGCTGAAATGGAGATGCATAAGGGTGTATATAGTAGCAGAACTTTAACTATCTGAATGTGGTTTGTGGTGAAAGCCATGGCTCTGATGCTTACTGAAGCCATTATGTGGTTAATTGGTATCAAGACAACAGTCCAAAACCCCATTCAGTGTTATTCCTAAAGGTGAAGTGTAAGCAGTGTTGGTTTTAGAGTCTGGGTTCTAATGTGGACTTGCTTTATGGAGTCTAATATGAAACCATGTCGTCCACTTTGCTAAAGTGTTGCAATTTCTTAGCTGCACCCTAAGTTTATTTTATGCCATGTTTTGCATTTATAAATGCATGTTTAAATAGTATATTCCCTTCAAAAAAGGGAAAAACCTTAGGCTGTATTGCAATAGATATTAAAAATTAGCGAGCACTTTTGGGTTTAGTCTGTCTTACTTCCTTTAAAAGAGGAATAGTAAAATAAATAAATTAGGGGTAAATCATTACTTTTTTAAATGATGCCATTACTATTTGTAAAACATTCAATTCCTAGACATTGTACATGTAGGCTATTCATTAATGTGTGTATTGATATACAATACTGTGATGAGCACTTTATAAAAGTTAGGAAAATTACTTTGGTACCTAGCGTCTTTGAGTTGCATTCAGTAAAAAGTGGTTTATATTGAGCTGCAGGATAAAAAGCAAAGATACTTTGTTAAATGAACTGATTGATACTCATCTGTACAAGTAAAGTTTAATAGAATAATTACACCTAGGGCATGAGTTCTAAGATGAAGTAGGTTTTATATTTGACATTGATTATTTTCTTGGATGCTCCCTTTCTTCTTTAATTGAATGTTATTCTTCACTGGGACTCAGTTTGTATGTCTTGTTGAATTCATAGCCTGTTCTGGTGTACCAGTTTTTCAGATGATGGAACTCATTTTTGGAAGGGCTGATGGCCTGGTAGTGGTTGAGGCACTGTATTTTAAGGAGGGGGGATTCTCCAGACTGAGTTTTCCTGTGGACTGAATGCTCTCTAGTGGTTGGAGCCTAGTAGGTGTGTCCTTTGAACTGTGTTTCTGGTTTATTTTCCAGTGAATAGTCTAGTTGGTGTACTCTGTAACTGAAGTGTGAACTAAACAGCGATTCTTCTGATCATCCTTATGTCAACTTCAAAGGCAAAATATTGATCCAAATTCAAACATCAGTGTATCTATATCTCTGAACAGTTTGCTTGCCGTGCTTTTCTGCTTAGAGATAATGTCGTGTGTAACCTAATTTTTGTTTTTACTTAGACCCATACGAAGTGCTCAGCTTAATAATTAAGGATTAATTTTGTAGTTGTAGTGTTAGAAAAAAGGAACCCTGTTCCCAGCTTCTGTCCATCTCATTATTCTTGTGAGAGTGAGAGGAAATGGTCCTTGGAAAATGTTGTAGAAAAGCTTTCTAGACTATTTCTAGGATAGTTTTTTTTCAGGGTTAAGTGTAAAGCTTTCTTGTGTTGATTATGGCAACTTTGTAAGTCAAATAATTCCAAAAGATATGTCTAGATTGTTATATTGAAGTATTACAGATTCATTTGAGGCTGTAAGCACTGTTTCTGGTGATACGTACTTCTGAATCTTTTGATTCAATATAGTACTTAGGAATTTCCAGCTGTTAACTATTTGAATGTAAAAAGCATTTTAAAAAGATACAGGTTGGGCGGAGAAGAGATTCAGAGTGGCCCTGTGGAGAAGGACTTGGGGGTGGTGGTTGATGAGAAACTTAACATGAGCCGACTTCAGTGTGTGCTTGCAGCCCAGAAACTAACCATATCCTGGGCTGCATCAAAAGCAGTGTGACCAGCAGGTCGAAGGAGGTGATCGTGCCCCTCTACTCTGCTCTTGTGAGACCTCACTTGGAGTATTGTGTACAGTTCTGGTGTCCTCAACATAAAAAGGACATGGAGCTGTTGGAGCAAGTCCAGAGGAGGGCCACGAGGATGATAAGGGGGCTGGAGCACCTCCAGTATGAAGACAGGCTGAGAAAGTTGGGGCTGTTCAGCCTGGAGAAGAGAAGGCTGCGTGGAGACCTCATAGCAGCCTTCCAGTATCTGAAGGGGCTCTATAAGGATGCTGGGGAGGGACTCTTCATTAGGGACTCTAGTGGTAGGAGAAGGGGTAACGGGTTCAAACTTAAACAGGGGAAGTTCAGGTTAGATATAAGGAAGAAGTTCTTCACAGTGAGGGTGGTGAGGCACTGGAATGGGTTGCCCAAGGAAGTTGTGGCAGTGTTCAAGGCCAGGTTGGACAGAGCCTTGAGTGACGTAGTTTAGTGCGAGGTGTCCCTGCTCATGGCAGGGGGGTTGGAACTAGATGATCTTAAGGTCCTTTCCAACCCTAACTGTTCCGTGATTCTATGATTAGGATACTTTCCTGTGTGGTTCCATTCTGTTCATAATTAACTATTTGTTCTTTATTATCTGCTTGAATTTACTCTGTGTGAGACTTGTTCTTAAGAAATCTTTTTAATTAATAAAGAAAACAGGAGAAACTTGGTTTATTGGTTTTTGCAAAAGATGTGACCTGTGTCAGTAGCAGATGACTGAGAAATGCACAAACAGTACAATACAAACATGTAATAATACTCTTTTAAGAAAGCTGAAGTTGCCTACTGCTTTCCCCCCATTCTGTTGAAACCTATTGCAGGATAAAGTACAAGTGTAAAATTCATTGTCCTTCTGAATAATCTTGTGACTTCCACAGCATGTCAGCCAGTTGCAGCTCTGTTTTTGTCAAGTTGAGTGATTTTCTTTGGAAAAGAAACTTCATCTTCCTTTAGAAAAAGAATACTTTCTAAACCCTTTAAAGAGACTTAAAGCATTTTAAAATTATTCCTTGACATTCTTCCGGATGTTTTTGTAGATCTTCTTTCGGACTGTGAAATAGTGTGTCTGTTACTGCTGCATATTTTGTAGTGATGAACAATGCTAGTAATTTAAAAAGGTGGTTATTTTAATTGTGAAAGTTTCATTGAAATTGGTTAAGTAACTGTAATCTTTTTCTTTTCAGGATATATTTATGTTCATAACGAGGCAGCTTAAAGGTTTAGAAGATACAAAAAGCCCCCAGTTTAATCGGTATTTTTATTTGCTTGAGGTAAGCTTCATAAGTTACTTCATAATAACTGTTAAATTATGTTTTCAACTTAATTGTATATTTACTCCATTTGTTTTTCCCTGTTCAACACAGAACATTGCTTGGGTCAAATCTTATAACATATGCTTTGAATTAGAAGACAGCAATGAGATTTTTACACAGCTGTACAGAACACTGTTTTCAGTAATAAAGTAAGTATTGTCACCCCCAATTATAATATATTACTGTATGGTTGAGGTCAGATGTTTCTAACCTGGGTGTTCAGTCTGTTGTCTGACTTGTAGCATTAATGAGCTTAGTTTTGTAATTCAGTTTAACTAAAGGTAGAAATATAAACAAAAGCTGTCAGTTTTGCCTGTTCTAATTAAAAAAGACACATTGCAAATCATCCTTTTTTTTTTTTTTCCAAAGAAACTTACTTTGGTCATCTTTTACTGCATTTATTTTATTCTGTTCTTGAAATCGAATGATGCAATATGCAACTACAAGGAGTTTGGGGAATTATTATTATAAAAACTTGAGTTAGTAAATGGTGGACACTAAAATGTACAGCTAAAGATTGTCTAGTCTGTCCCCCTTGTTCAAACCAGATCAGGTAGAGCAGATTGTCCAGGACTGTGGCCAGTTGTGAGTATTTCCAAGGACGGATACTCCATGACCTTCTAGTGTTCAATCACACATTTAAAAAGTTTCTCATTCTTCTGTTTAAATGGTATGTCCTGTATTTCACTTTGTGCCTATTGCCTTTTGTCCTGTTACTGGACACAATCACTGAGTCTTGCCCCATCTTCTTTACTCCCAACATCAGGTATTTAAACATAATGATAAGTTCCTCCCTAAGCCATCTCTGGTTGAGGCTAAAAAAAGATGTCAGCACTCTCAGCCTCACCTTGTATGAGAGCTGCTTTAGTCCTTTAGTCATATTTGTGGTCTGACTCTGGGATGTTAAGTAAAAGGGAGGGATGTTATAATACACTTTCATGGTAGGGACAGATACAGTCCGCCTACTTTTTTACTGTAGTAGTAAATGAAGAGGGTGTGAGGTTCAAGAACATTTTGTAAAGTGGTATATGCAGCTGATAAACATAAGTATTTTGACCTCTAAGAAAATTTGTGATTTGATTGTTATATTCCTTGTTCTTTGGCATCACCACAGGGAGTATGTTGCATAGAGGTTGTACTTTATATGTACAATACACTAAGAATTTTGTGTTTAATTTCAGCAACGGTCATAACCAAAAAGTACACATGCACATGGTTGATCTAATGAGCTCTATCATTTGTGAGGGAGATACTGTGTCGCAGGAACTTTTGGATACAGTGTTAGTTAATCTAGTGCCAGCACATAAGGTAAGACTTAATAGTGGCTTAATTTTTTTATTTTTTTATAATTGTGATTTATTGGATGTGTGTGTTCAGATATTTACATTTTTTTGTGAGAAGAGGTGTAGCAAATGTGTTCCTATTATTTGGATCTTAGCAAAAAAGAAATTTTTAATAGTCAAAATTCAGTAGAGTTTCATTGCTTTGATTTACTTGCCATAAGCCAAAATATCAGTGGTCACAGTAATCTGAAAGCTATAAAATTTATACACTTTTATATATGGTCAATATCAGCAGAACTTTTTATAAAAGATACAATGTATCCTTTGGAAAGTTTGTAATTCTTGTAACGCTGTATCAGTAGTTCAAACTAAGGTGCTGCCCTAAGTGAGAGGGGAAGAAGTTACGTCTGCTCATTTGTAGCTGGCAGTATTACATGTTTCAGAAATGCTGACTTAGTGTTACTGAAAGCACATTGGTATGTTTTTGATGCAGCCATAGAACTATATTCAGAAGTGGGGGTGTCTGAAGACCCAAGTGATTATTGTCTCCTTAATGAATAATGTCTCCTTTAAAAAAAACCCCAGTGTCCAAGAGATGAACTGAGGGAAAAACTTCAAACTGTGCATGTCTTGTGACACTTAGATTTCCTTGCTGTGTAAACATTTGACTTCCTCATTCAGAAAACTAGCTGGGTCCTATTGGAATCTCTTGGACTATGGTGTAGGAGATGACTTGTAAGTTGTGTATGACAAAAAAAAGGATTCTGGAAATTACCTAGGAAATGTGTGCTTAGCTGACAGCTTTTTTTTTTTTTTTTTTTTTTTTTTTTGAAGTGCATTCAGGAAAGGGTAACTTAACTTTTTAGGAACTACACTAAGGTTAAGTGTGAGGTTTTTGCGTCTTTGAAATGTCATTTTTGTATTCCTCCCTGCCCCTTAACAGTAATGTACCTGAAGACACTGAGTAAATTTTTCATAAGGGGCTCTCAAAAGAACATAGCAAGTAGCACAACTTAGTGTGCTTTACCACAAGCCATCAATTTCAGTAAATAAACAGCACATGAATTATTTGTCTATTGACAGTGAAAGATTAAATGTTTAGTATAGGTCAGGTTTTTTTCCCACTGGAAATGTTTTAACTGTGTTCTTCAAGGATTCTAGTACTTTTGTGCCAGGACCAGGCTGAAATTTGTGTTGCTAAAATTCAGATTTATGAAGTAAAAATTTGGGATAAAAGAAGCAAAAGCAAGACTACACAAAATAGTTTATATTTTCTCAGTTCTTAAGTATCTGTTGTTTCAGCATGTCACCTGTGTTCAACTTGATTTGACTGTACTGTTTTCGATTCATGTTACTGACTGAACATGTTAATAGGATAAGGTGTCTGGCATCTTGCATTTTCTTCTAATCAGACTGGCTCTTTGGCTCTAAGAATGCTAGCTTATAGCTCACTTTCTAACTGAAATAGTTACTTAACTTCAGGCCATATTCTGCATACTTTTACCTTTGTTTTAATTTTTTTAACCATTTTCACACTAATAGAAAGAAGCTTCTAATAGTTTTGTTTGATCTCAATATCTTATCTTAGTGTTTATTTAAAATTTCAAAGCTTACGTAGTCATCTAACCACTTTCTGTGGCTATTGAAGTCAGGTTGGAAAAGTGTAATGAATTCAGAGTGAGATTTTTTCTATTCAGGTTTATTGAGCACTAAACTACAAGGCAGTTAAGGATAAGGTCCACCATAAAGCAGAATTATGTCTTAACTGACCTAACTGTTAAGCTGTACAGGCGATGGAAATTGTCAAATCAGACTGGCTCAGTAAAAATGGCATAATGACAAGAGCTGTTGTAATGGTGAGTAGGGAATCCTTATCTAGCCAGATTCCCCAGGGACCAAAAGAATACGTTTGATGGTGTAGAAGAAGCGTAGATCTGTTATTTGCTAAGATTTTAAAATGATTAGACAGAGATTGTTGTAGATAGGACAGCTTTGTTTGTAGCAAGTGGCACTGGCAAGCGGTGAATTTTTGATGCAGCCTGTATGAAGGTTGTAGTGTGAGGGAATGTGGAGTGCCCTTGTGAATTGAATGACTCTATTCTAGAGAATAGTGATAGAGCTAGTATGATTTTTGATGTATAAAGAGCTGTATTGGCTATTACTGGTTGGAAGACTTGAGGAGTTTATATAACTTACCAGAGGAGCAGTCTGTAAGTGTGTATTGGGAACAAAAGATTCAAACAGCTCCTCTAGTTTTAGATCCTGGGTGCTGAAATCTAATAGCTGAAATTCATCATTAGATTGATACACAAATTATATGGTTATATTTAAGAATTGTAGTAACCAGTTGAGCAATTTATAGAAGGCTAATTCAAAGCTGTTGCCTCTTAAAACCAAGATCAATATTTTTCTGAAGAGGGATGCCACATACGGTCACTGAGTAGTCCGAAGTTGGACAAGCAGTGGTCTTAGCAGAACAGCTGCAATGACTCAGGCAAAAGGAGCATATACTGGGGACATGCCATACCATCAAACTTCTGTCTACCATAATTAGTAGTCACTGAAGTAGTCTACACTGCTTTAGCTCACTTGAGTTTGTCATCCATCTCACTGGGCCAGAATAAAAGCCATATTGATGTAAACCTGGACGAAGATGGCTGATGCTAATATCGCAGGTACATTAGAGTATGCACAGGCTTGTTTGAGTAGTACAGCAGGTATTAGATAAATCAGTAAAACAGTAAACTTAAGTTGACTGACCATGTGCTCAACTTTTAATTTCTGTGATGTTTAATTACATTTTTCCTTTCATGGTTTCTCTTTTCTTTTTTATGAATTCTACTAAAATTCATTTGATAGGATTATATTAACAGGGAATGAAATAAATAGTGAACTAACCTCAGAAAAGACCAGAAGCAAGGGAGAGGTAGTGAATATGAAAAGGCAAGAGAAATTAATAGCTTTCCTTTCACTTTTAATTCTTCTTAGATTATTAACCCATTATGGCAGCACCTGTAAACAATTTTGTTTTTGCAGTGTGTTAGAAGGCAAATTGTACTTTATTTCCTTGAGTGTTTCCCAGAGTATTCCATTTTCAGCCTCAGGAGTATACTAGGGAATCCCACATTGCATGTCCCACATGCTTTGCATGCTTATCTCTTCAAAAAAGTGGTATCGACAATTGAATTCCAACTGTCTCTACCAGGAACTTGCTTAATAATTAGTGTTATCTATCTTGGCAACACTTCAGCTGAGTTTCTTCTTTATCAGCCATCCTTAGAAACCTATTTCCCTCCCCCAGTAGAACTAGAGAATCTGTTAGAACTGTTTCGTCAAGTGCTCCCGGGTACAAATTCTGGTGCTTTGCCATTGATAATAAGAATCAAATTGAAAACCTTTTTCAAGTGCCAAGAAAATAATATATATTAAATGTACATTGTTCTGTTTTTGTTTTTGTGGGGCGTTTTTTTTTGTTGTTGTTTTTGTTTGGTTTTGGTTTTTTGTTTTTTTGTTGTTTTTTTTTTTTTTTAATTTGCTCTAGATGCAGACTCAATGTTTTATTTTACTATTGAAATTACAAAATTAAGGACTGGATTGGTGTTAGCTATCTATCTGTTTTGAAGGAAAAAATAAGCAACATGATTTTGTTTCTGTTGCCTTTTCATTTATTTATTTATTTTAAAAGGCTGAGTACAAATGACTTAATATCTTGGAGTTCTGTTAAATTGGACATTGAAAGGCAACTGGAGAAACGTAACTGAAAAGAATCAGTGGGTATGCATTTCCATCATGGCCAACCCCATTGTATTAGTACAACTGACTTTTGGCTTTGTGGCAAACTGTCCTGGAGAACACTGTCTGTATATACACAAAAATGTCTGTGCCATGCTGTCAGAGAGGCTGCCACTGCTTCTTGTGTCTGCAGCAGCAGTTTGTCAGGCATTTTAGAGAAGAACAGGTATGAAAAGTGAGTTGGCAAAACTTAATGTCTCAGAGAAGTGTAAAAAAGCTTGAAATGCTAACAATATATACACAAAAATTGTGGTAGGAATTAACATAAAGGAGAGAATTTAGGGTTGACAAAGATGGTCTGTCTTCAAATATTATTTTTGGAGGCCTTCTAAGCATAAAATTTAATGTTAATAATAGTAGTGTTCTCCCCTGTTTATTAACATTCTTTTCTGAAAGAAAACTGGAGAGGTTTTTTGGGGGAAAGGTCTGTCTCTTACCCTATAAGGCTGTTTAAGATGTTAAATGTAACTTCTCAATTATTTTGCAGAAGATCTGAGTTCTGCTTTTTCATGGGTGCTTCTTTGGTTTGTCCTTACCAATTGGTACTTGTTTCTGCTTTTACCTTCAAAACGCAGTAATTACTAATGATTACTTTAAACAGTGTTGCCAGCTGATGGCTCAGTTTCTACCCAGTTCAGGACTCTCAAAGGCTTATCCCTGCTGGGTGCTTGTGTGCTCTTAGAGGCATTCTGATGAAGGTTATTGTCCCCATCATGAGGACTTTCTTAAAGCATTAGAAGATCTTGAAATACACGTAATTGTTTTGGTTTTTTTTTTTTCTTTTCTGCATGTATAGGAAGGTTGAAATTAAATTAGTTGGAAAGATAGGTTTGATGTTTTGTACAAGATCTTTGAACCTATTTGGTAATGGTCTGGGTTGCTCCTGGCTTCATTTCAAGTAAGGTGGCGGCACTTTTTCTTCTTTCTGCTTTTATCCTGAAGCTGGAAAAGGAAGAAGAAAACTTTCTTGTGTGCTTTTAAGACTACTTTGATATTGTTATTTTCAGAAAGTTCAGCCTCTGGACATTTGAGGGCTTTGGCTATTGACACAATTAAGTCAAGTACATAAGGCATGAGAAAAGCTACCTTAGCTTAGCTAGTTGTGATCAAGGGTATATGTTTTACCTTTGCAGCTTTTTTAGATAGAGGGAATTGTAATGTTAATATGTTACTCTGGGTTGCAAATGGCTACTTCTGGCATTTATCTTGGGAAACATTTAGGTTTTAAAATCAAGTGCTATGTGAGAGATACAAACTGAAACTGTTATTAATGAGAATGAGAACAGATCTGCCTGTTGGAACTCTGCTATGGTAGATCTGCTGTTTGGACTTGTTTTATACGTAAATCAGATCTTGCTCGTGATCTAAAGTTCACTGTTGCCCAGGTAAAAATTGTTTTCTTTTACTGACCTGTGGAAGTCAAGTGGGATCAGAGCAAGAATCGCAAGTGGCATACGTTCCTTGTTAGGGATTTTTGTACCTTTTTATTTCCTGAGCAGTCACAAGTCTAGCTAAATAACAGAAAACAAATGCTGCAGTCTTTTCTGGGACATGGAACAGCTGTACAAATTTGTAGAAAGGTTGCCAATGTTGACCCTTGCATCTTGATTAGATAAAGGGAGAGGAAATTACAGGATGTTAATATTTTTATGTAAGCGTTTGAGTATCTTTCCAGAATTGGGATTGATTCCCCTTCTATAGTGGCTCTGGGTAAAACAGGTTCTTCAGGTGTGAATCTCCGTAGCCTTTTTACTTCAGTCACCTAGCTTTGTTCGATCAGTAGGCAAGTCAAAGACTTCTGTTTTATATTAACAGAAAATGTTAATCTGTTCCTACTGCTATCTAGAAGCCTGTAGTTCCTGTACAGTTTTTGAAATTGCAGACAATATTCTCCATCTCTTTGCAAATCCTGTCTTTTCCATTCAGATAGCTACGAAGAACCAGGAATACTCAGGCAAAGAAATATCCTGGGTGTCTGATGTACCTTGTGTTTGGTTTTCATTATGCTGAAGGGAAGTTTTCTTCCTTTTATGTATGAGATGTTTTTAAAAAAACAACTACAAGCTGCCCCTTTATGCTGTTGTCTTGTAAATGGAATATGCTGAGTTTTTTTAAATTGCAGACACTAATAAAATTGGGAGAACTATGTTTTTACAGAGATGTTTAGCTATTAAAAGACTGTATATTTTTTATATTGAAGACTTTTCTTTCATTCTCGTTAATCAAGTCTACAACGGGTGTCACAAGTTGCATTTTCTTCTGAAAATTTTTGAAAAATAATTGGGATTAGAAATGGTAGAATTGTAGAATGTAGAACATGTAGCATTGTAGAATTGTAGCAATGTAGAACATGGAGAATGTGTGCAGGGAAAGGAAGGAAACAATGATAGAGTAATAACCCAATTAGACAAGTGGAGGGAATGTTGGGAAGGGGTGTGGGTTTTTATTTTCTATATTAGTTTTGTTTGTGTTTTTCTTTTTTGCTCATGAACTAAAATTCTAGGTATTTCTTTTTCTTTGCTATCTTAGTCAAACAGACTGAGTATCTTTGCAAGATACCATGGGGAGTCTGTGATGGTGGTTCACAGGTGGCTGCTTGGTGCAAGGACAGAATCATGCTTTCTACCACAGTCCTGTTCAGAGTCTTGCTTCTGTGGTGATTGTAAATGCCTCAGTGTTGCTTTGTATTGCTTTCTTGTTTTTTGGGGATGATGATAAGGAGGAACAGTAAAATGCAGGACTTGACTTCACTGATTTTCAGGCTTAGATGAATAACTGAAAGTTAAAAGTAAGCCCCAAAGCCCCAGTTTGCCAGGAAAGAGTTTTCTTAGTAATATTAGTAGAGGCTACAATGCTTTGTTTGGACTAGGCTTGTTTTTACTGTTATCTTTACTACTGAAAGTATAAAAATAACTATTTCTTTAATGGACTTACCACTACATATTAGCGTTAAATTCTGATATTTATCTTTAGGATTAATGCATGTGTTTAAAACTTCTCTGTTGCTTTTGTTTTTTTTTTTTTTTTTTTCCTTTTTTCACCTCCAGAATTTAAACAAGCAAGCCTATGATTTGGCAAAGGCTTTACTAAAGAGGACAGCGCAAGCAATTGAACCATATATCACTAATGTAAGTGAAGACAGCAAACGTATATGGATATCAGTACATTTTTTTAACTGAGCTGTAATATAAAGTGAATGAATTGCATATAGTCAAATAGGGCTGTTCTTTGAGAGAATTGTTGTATTAATGAAGCACTGTAACCTATCCCTTTGAGTTTAATTCTTCATGATATTGAAACTACTAAGCCCATATTAATTTTGATTTCTGAAATGCAATGGTTGGTTTGCTTTCTGCTACTTTGGGAGACCTTGCACTTCAGTCCTTAATGTGGCTGGAAGACCAATGGAACTTACATGTATTGTTCTGAAAAAAAGTACATAAACACGTTGTTCTTGTGGCAAAATTATTTTTCTAGTGAGGAGATGAGACTATTTTAGAAGCTAAGATAAGTGAAGATAGAGCAGAATTTTAATGCTGTTGTCACAGGAAAAGAAGAGGAAATAGAATCTAAGAATAGATATTAAGAAAGAAAACCAACAAGTGGATTGAGGATTGTAGCCAAGTTGAGTCTAGATATTATAGACATTGCAAGAGAAGAGGGATGAGAGGAAGTAAAGATCAGACAGGAGTAAAGATCTGACAGGAATATGTTCTAACTCAGGTTGCACAATAGAGAAAAAAAAGCCACCCTACTTCTTTTCAGAAGTAGTTAAAAATTTAGCAGGCAGTTATCCAAAACCTCAGGAGCTTCAGACTTCTGACACTTGGTGTTACTTGGTGTTACTTGGAAAGTGGGTACCTTCTAAGATTTAAAGAAAATCTTTGGTGAAAACTCTTCAAACCTGTTAGTCAAACCTGCTGTTTGGGAAGGTGTTGCTGCATGCGAATGTGTTTTTAATGTTGTTCAGTTGCAAAGTTAGATTACAAACCAGGTGACATTTTGTGGGTTTTAAAGAAGTCTGTACAATAAGAGTCTTCCTCTTATGGAAAATATGTACATACAGTCTTCTGTTCTTGGTTTTCCACAAGTGGGAAATATTACGCTGTCTGGTGTCTTTGTTTGAAAGTTGCTTTCTTTCTTAAAATATATTAAAGGCACAGTAAGAATTAGTTTCTTAACCAGGAATATGTATGTTCCAGGCAACACTGTATACAGAAAAGGAAAACTTTCCTGCAAGATAGTATGGGACTCGTTGACTTCTAATGAAATGCACTTACTTGTTATTTCTAGTAATTATTGCTAGAAACTGTTGACTTTTTCTATTATATCACTTGTTGGGGTTCAGTTTAAAACCTTAAAAAGTGGTAGCTTTCACGTTTTTAGTTTCTTTACTGATATGATTAATCTTGTCAGGTACAAGGAGTCATGATGTTCATCTGTCCCAAATTTGGGATTAGGAAACTGAAGTGCCAGTTCTGTTGCCTTTGTGACAGGTGGCAATAGTTCAATTTGTTCAGCCACAGTTGTGGCTGTTGTTATCTTAACCCAAAGAGAAGAAAACTTTCCAAATCATATCCTCCCCCTTACAAGTGAGGAGTAGTAAGTTCCTCCTTAGTTGCTTCTTACCCATCTATTATGAGAGGATATAGTTGAAAGGAGTGTGGAATTAATATTTGATTTTAAAAAATATTTTAATGAGAAGTGTAAAGTTTCTCTCAAACCTGTCAAGTTTACCATGAAAGAATAATTGCTTTACAGCTGCATTATGCTGCTTGTAAATATAAACTCTGGAACAGCCAGTTACTAATTCCTGTGCTTTTACTTACAGCTCCATAACCTGTCAGCTGTGTTGTATAGTAATTAGCCAGTTGTTTCAGCCCTATTTTGACTAAATGTTGCAATACTTTTAAAGTGATTGTTCTCAATAGTGAAATAACTCTAAATACAGTCACATCTTAAAAAGACGTGATGCACTGGAGCTCCCCTAGAATTGCGTTTCTTACATTATTTGTAGGCCTACTTTAGTAAATGAAACATTTTAACACACTTTTAATGTGTTTTCCATTACGTGTAATACTGAATACAGAACAATGATATTTGAAGATTTCTACTACAGAATCCTGACCCATGCATGGTAAATTTATAGGTAGGCAAGCACAGGATTTAGAAGAGTGTGTATGTCTTTGTTATTGATGTGTACTCTGTTTTATTTTCCAGTTCTTCAATCAAGTCCTCATGCTTGGTAAAACATCCATTAGTGACCTGTCAGAGCATGTGTTTGACTTGATTCTGGAGTTATACAATATTGACAGTCACCTCCTGCTTTCTGTTCTCCCCCAGCTTGAATTCAAACTTAAGGTAAACACTTCTTATCCTTTCCGTATATTTGAAACGTGTGCTTTGACTATTAGTGATTTTTATGGTTTTGGGTTTTTTTTACGGAGAAGTTCTTCAGATTTTTTGGCATATAAAATGGATACTTATATGTAAAACGTATCTTTGCATAGTTTAAAGGAAGATTTGTAAAAGCCCTCAAAAAGAGTAATTTAACTTCAAATGTATTAACCTACAGTGCATGTAAGCATATATTTGGGGTTTGGTTCGTGGTTTGGTTTATTTTTTGGGTGTTTTGTTTTTTGATTTTGTTTTGGGGGTTTTTTTATTTGTTTGGGGGGGGTTGTTTTGTTTTGGTTTTTTTTGTTTGTTTTTTTGTTTTTTTTTTTTTTTTTTGCCTTGCATCTTTCAAGCAATAACTTATTTTTCTGATGACTTGAGAATCTGACCTGTGTTGCTCCTTGGTTTACTGTACTATTTATTGTGAAGGAGTTTAATATATTGAAAGTACCTTATGCTGCAGAGAGACACTACATCCGTTCAGAATAGGGAAAAGATGGGCTCCGTGTTAGTGGAAACTGGTTTATGTACTGACAATTTTGTTCAAATAGAAGGCCTGTGATGTGAAAACAGAGCATCAGACTGTAAATATGTGTTGTAGTCATTGCTGCAATGACTTTTATGATTTTCATGCTTATTTCTTGTGTCTGAAGGATAGCTGATACTAGCTATCTCTTTTAATAGCTGTTTTTCTCTTTGACTTCCTACCATTTCAGAGTGTCTCCATCACTTGGAAGAAATTCAGTATAACAGCTTGTACTCCATTTATTCTGCACTACTTCTCTTTGTCATTCCACAGTTTCTGTGGAAGTGGAGAATTTGATTAGTTTTATATTACTAAGTTTGAAAATGTTCTGTTTCCAAACTTGAGGCTAATGTGCTGTAGACCACTTGTAAAATTGCATGTATTTTTATTTTATTGAGGACAGATTTTAGGTTTGTAGAACCTTTGGCCTGTTCTTGGTGCAGTATTCATTATCATAGTGGCTTGTTCATAGAATCTTAGAGTGGCTTGGGTTGTTAAAGAACCTTAAGATAATTTAGTTCTAACCCCCATGCCTATTATTTTTTCACTAATGTTGCTAGGCAGGCACAATACACTTGTTGGTTGAGTTGTATTTTAATGGTTTTATCTTTTCTTTCATATTTCCAGAAGAAGGGTTCAACTTACTGCTTGCTGTCTGACTCTTAAAAGTAGACCTTTGCAGCCTTTAATTCCTGTTCTTACAGATGGTGAACAATTACCATTCTCACTCCAATAAAAACAGTACTTCTGCAGCCGAAGCTGTTATTCAAAAGATTTAATCTTAACTGCTGCCACATCGTTTATTTTTTTCCCCTCTTCATAGCCATTATTACTGTAACCTTTCCATCTTGAAGTCCATTTATAAACTGCAGGTTCTTGAATTGTCTTCCTCCTCCTTCATTAACTCTTGTATTCCAGTATTGCAAACTTCTTTTTTGTATCCTATTTTACCATTGGAATCGGGAAGTTTAATAGCCCAACGCTGTCAAACTTTTTTCTTTCAGCAACTTCTGTTGTCTTCCTTTAGTGGGGTGATTTCAGCACTAAGCATTTCCATGTTTTCTTTATACTACTTAATCTACAACATTTTTTTTTTCCCCTTAATTTTTGCATTCTGTTCTTTGTTTAGTGTGCTGTTAGATGATAAGCATATATTTTGCTGCTTTTTAATCCTTGATCCTTAGTATAGTTTTCTCCTTGTGGTCTGAACTCTTGAGGGTAAGGGTTCAGGTTTGGGGATTGTAATATCCAGTTAACCAGTGTTTCTAACAGACATGTACACATTTATAGTTACATTCTTATTGCTCTTTCTCCTTGATGTCTTGTTGAACTGGGTACAGTTTGTAGCTATTCTGAGAGCTATTCTGAGAGGCTTCTGTTTGACTTACCTTGTTGCTTCAGGTGTGTGTTTTTGAGGCCTTAAGTTATAAGACAAATAATATGTGTCTGTTTTGTCCTATTGGCTGTCAAATGTAGTTTGACCTGTCTTTTACAGGAAAACAAAAAAACCCAAACAAAAACACCCCCCCCCTCCCAAACAAAACAAAAAAAAAAACACAAAAAAACCTCCATTTGGAATAGGATAATCCTAGTTTAAATCCTGAAATACTGGAGCAGGCCGCCCAGGGAAGGTGTGGATGCCCCATCCTTGGAAGTGGTAAAGACCAAGTATTGGACGGGGCTTTGAGCAACTGGTCTAGGAAAGGTGTCCCTGTCCATGGTAGGGGGGTTGGAACTAGGTCTTTAAGGTCCCTTCCAACCCAAACTGTGTTATGGTTCTAAATGAGTTGAGAGGTCTGTAATATCCTTCTGTGGTTAAAAGAGTATCTTGAAGATGAATGTTCTGAAATACTAATGAAATATGGTCAGCTTATGTTTGTTCTGAAATTAATACAAATTTATTCTTTATGCAGACCTGCCAGTGATGATTAAATGCTTTCCACTCCAGGAATAGTTGTGGCTTTATTTTAAACAGCAGCAGCTAGTGTCAAGCATTTTTAACTTAATCCAGGTAAATTTTATGTTAAAAAGAGAGTGTAAATTCAGTGAAACTCAGAGTGCTTATGGTAGGAGGCAACTAATGTTTTGCTGCTTTGAATGAAAAGGAACTGGACAGCTGTATCCCTGTTAGCTTTGATAAGGTCTTGGATCAGTTGCCTGGTAAATGAGAAAAACACACTTGGTAGTCCATATTGAAATAGGGGAGAGGGTAGACGTCTTTTTGAATAAAGGTCAGTTAATGATAAAATAATCATGAGCTTCAGTGAGCTCTGCATATCATTCAGAGCTTGACTGGATGATTTTGGCTTTCCTGGATTTGGTACGTAGCATTTCATAGAATCGTAGAATGATTTGAGTTGGAAGAGATCTCTATCATCTAGTTCCAACTCCCCTGCCATGGGCAGGGAGACCTTCCACTAGACCAGGTTGCTCAAAGCCCTGTCCAGCCTAGCCTTGAACAATTCTAGGGATGGGGCAGCCACAGCTTTTCGGGGCAACCTGTGCCAGTGTCTCACCACCTTCATAGTAAAGTTTTTATTACTAATGTCTAATCTCAGTCTGCCCTCTTCCAGTTTAAAGCCATTCCCCCTTGTCCTGTCACTACATGCCCTCATAAAAAGTCCCTCTCCAGCTTTCTTGCAGGACTCCTGTAGGTATTGGAAGGCTGCTCTAAGGTCTCCTTGGTGCCTTCTCTACTCCAGGCTTGAAAAGCCCCAGCTCTCAGCCTGTCTTCATAGGAGAGGTGTTCCAGCCTCCTGATCATCTTGGTGGCCCTCTGTGAGATTATATTCAGGAGCTGTATCAGACAAAGGTGTGATAGTAAAAGTCAAATACTTTTTGGGGCAAATACTCAAATAAAGCTTATGGAGTAGTGCGACAGTTATGGATTTCCAGGATCTCATATTGCTGCTTTGCTGCTAAAGACATTTGTATTACTCTTAAAGCAGATGATGTTAAAGGAAAGCTGTGGCTGTCTCAACTGTCGAGTTGTCAGGTTCAAGGAGTGAAGATGTATCCAAATGATCTCATGTGGAATGCTTTGAACATGTGGAAGTTGGACATATGATGTGTGCTTTTCAAAGACAAATTGAGTAACTGCTCTTTATTTTTCTGGGAACATGCATATTCTTTATAAGCGGCTTCAAAAGCAGTGACTTAAAAAAACTATTTGGCCAGATGAAGTAGGCTCATGGTAGACTTATCCAAGCAAGATTCCAAGTGTTCTGGCTGAATTTAAAGTGGATGCTTTAAAAAAAAATATTTTCAGGTGCAAACTTGGCAAATTCTGGGGGCCAGAACTTGGTATTTCTGATTATTTCAGTGAAATTTAATCTGATAGAAATGAATTAATTTCTTAGAGATTTTTCTTTTGTTTGGTGTAGTTTGAGCCGGTTTTATCCAAGAGCTGTTCTTTTTAAATTCTTTTGATGTTGTCTGAAAAGTCTTTTTGCTGATGGAGAATGATAAATGGTTACTTCCATACAGATGCTAAATAACTTTATATTTTTTTTCATTGGCCCTGTCATGTAGAGAACAATGAAGGTCAGGTCAATAGGGCACAGGACTTCAAAATAAATTGGGAAATAACAATTTGGCCTCTGTATGAGAAAAGAATGATGTGACATGGGATTTCCAAAAGCAGATACTACAGAACTTCATTACTGACAACCTGAGAAAAATTTCTTCACTTTTTGGGGTTGTCATTTGGCAACAAACCGGAAAGTTACTACCCAAACAAGAGAAGACAGGAATTCCTGGAAGATTGGTAATAATTTGATAATACTATATGTGATAAGACTTTGAAGGATTGTCCTTGAGAAACTCTTATCTATATGTTCTAATGGTATATGTATTTTGCTTCCTATTACTGAGCCACTAAAGAAAAATACAGTTTAGTTCATTTTTCCTATCTTCCTTTTTATTTGAGATGCATTAAGGAGACAGATGTTCTGGTCCTGAAGCCACGTGATTACTGATGAATCCTGTTTGTTGAACAGGATGACTCCATTTACACTGAGGGAAGCGTTTTCAGTGATGCTTTCTCCACCCAAAGCAAAATGCTCATTCACATCAATTAGTTGATTTCTGTCTGAGAACAGACTGAAATCTGTGAAGTCTGTTGGATGTACTCCTATTTGACGATTGCAAGGGCTGCCATGCTCATTTCCATAAATTCTGTTTAAATTGAAGGTGAGGGGAAAAGGTGATCTTGGTCTTGATTGTTCTGATGTTGAGGACCTTCTCCTGTTCTTGGAGAATGCTGAAAGCTCTTGATATCCTTGACTTGTTCTTTCTGGGATTGTTCACGTGTTTCATCCTGACTTCAGAGTACTTGGTCTCACAGTGTAGGTGCTGACTATTTCTCTGATAGTGATCCTGTTTCTCCTGCTGTCAGCAACTTTTTCACTAGTTGTATTCTGTACGTGAACCAGAATTTCCATGTAATGTCATACTTTTTTGCTTTTAAATGCTTTGTGGCATGTTTTGAAAATGAAGTGGTGGTTTTCTCCCAACAACTAGGTGAGTGATCTTCACAGCCTTCCAATTGATTGGGCTGCCTTGTTCTCAGCCTCTGTGGCTGATAGGAATTTGAGGACATGAACAAACATTTGTGTGTCTGTGACTCAGTACCTGACAGGATCCAAATTTCTTGCTCTCTATCTCTGAACTTCTCTTGCACTCTTTGTGGCAGTAAAGCTCCTGTTTTTTCTTCATGGGATCAGAGTCTTATGGAAGATTGTCTTTTTCAGTGTGGGGAAAAATCCAAGGATTTTCTTGTCAGTGACCAAATAAATTGTTGATGATGTATAGAGGGATTAAGAAACACTTGGTATCGAGCCTGTGAGAGAGTATAGGTGCCTCAGTAACACTGTTGCACGTATTTACTGTTTTGGATCTAAACAATGTGGCCACCTAGTGTTCAAGCACCTTGCCATTAGGTGCAGCCAGTGACCGTACAGGTCGGTCAGGATGCCAGATGATTTTAACTGCAGCGAGATTTGTACATTTTGGCTTGGCTGAAGAATGAAAGGTTGCTGTCAGTACTGGTGTTCTCTGAAATGTGCAAGTTTTGTGTGCTTTACTCCCTTAGGTGCTTTTTCTATACTATCACAAGAATCTTTTCAGTATGTTTGGAAAGAATTGAAATGCAGTCGAGTGTGTGCTGTGCCATGTCATGTACAAACAGAAGAGGACAAACTAGTTATCCATTTGTGTCTGGCTGGGATGGAGTTAATTTTCTTTGTAACATCCTGGATGGTACTGTACTTTATATTTGCGGCTAAATCAGTGTTGATGGCACACTAATGTTTTGACTGTTGCTGAATAGTGCTTGCACAGGTAAAGGCTTTCTCTCCTACCACAAGTAGGCTGAGGTGGGGCAGGAGGTTGAAAGGTGACGTGCTCAGCAAGAAAAGGTCAGGGAAAGGAGGAGGAAGAGGGGAACCTTTATGCTTATAATGTTTGTCTTCCCAAGCAAGCACTGTGCGCTCTGAGACCCTGCTTTCCAGGAACTGGCAGGATGTAATGAATGAATTCCTCTCTTTGCCTTACTTGTGCATGCAGCTTTTTCCTTACCTATTAAACTGTTATTATCTTGATCCATGAACATTTTATCTTTCTTCTATTTTCTCCCCTTCTACTCTCTTCACAGGAGAGGAGAGTGAGTGAGAGGCTGGGTAGATGTTTGGCTTTTGGCTGGGGTCAACCCACCACACCTTTATAGATATTTTTGTAAAGAAAAAGCTGCTATGTTCTCATTTAGCAGAAAAGGAGTATTGTTAAACTGTAACGCTCAGAGTGCTGTGTCAAATCATGGTTGCTTCTAACTGGTAATTATTTTTTAACCGAATTTTGGAAAGGAATCTGGGGGCTTAGTAGGAGAACATGCATTGAAATTCATTTAGCTTAACCTCTTCTGTGAGGGTCAGTCATTTGTGTCTGACCTTGGCATCTTAAGGTGATGTGTTTAGAGATCTAGTGTTGACACAGAAGCATTATTGGTACAGGAGAGAACAGAGGTAAGAATGTATTGTTGTGTAGGTCAGCTTGTAAAGGAAACTGATATTCATTCATTCAAATTTGATATTTGAATTTTAGAAATTTGTATTACTGAAAGTGAATACCATTTTATGTTCAGGTGAATCAAAAGTTCATTAATAGAGTATTTAGGAAATAACCATGACAGGTTTTACATCTTTATTTTACCATCTTACTAAGACAATATAATGTAATGAATAAAATCAATAAAATGTTGACTTCTATTATTGTAGAGCTGCCTTTCTTTCTGGATATAGTAGTTAAATTCCTGGCAAGTTTCAGGTCATGTGTCCACTTCTGCTCTCAAATCCCCCCCAAATCCTCAGTGGTGACTATGCTTTTGGACTTGGTAGTGATAACAATCTGATCAACTTCAGCTGCTGTTAGTGACCCTAATATGTAGACAGAAGAACAGCTGCCTGTGTATTGGGAGCACATATGGGAAACTGAAAATATTACTGTTCAATGTCAATTTTTCTTGGCAAATTGTTATGGAACACTGTTAAGCATAAAATGGTGGATCATACCTAAGAAAAGAGGTGATGGACATGACTCTCTAAGTACACAGTCTTATGGAATGGAGAAGGATTAAGATTTTTTTTACAAAGTTTGTGATACTCTTTTCTTTTTTTTTTTCTTTTTTTTTTTTTCTTTTTTTTACTCAGAAAAGAAGTAGAGATTAAAGTATAAGAAAGGAGAGAGGCTGCAGCAGTGATGTATTCGTTTAATAAGAGGGACAGGTTGATTTTTGTTACTTTTAGGAGTTTTATATAAGAATGTTTCAAGGAGATGAACATTTGGGCACAAATTTAGAGAGTACCAAATTCTCTTGGTCCATAATCATAAATACTCACTGTTTCTACAAGCAGGACTAGAAACATGGTAGGTTGTCTTACAGTTGGATAAGTGGCTAATACAGTGTATGATTCTTCTGCTGCCAGTTCACTGAGGATATTGTACAGGTTTTGGTAGGGTTTTATTCATGGTGTGGTGTCTTGGGGTTTGGGGTTCTTTAACCTGGTTTTGTCTTTCTTTCTTTTTTTTTTTTTTTTTTTTTTTTTTTTTTTTTCTTCTTTCTGTATTTCTGTCTGTGAAATTAAGTAGTTGAATGTTTAGTGTACTTCTGACCCCTCCACTCCCCTTTCTCCCCACCTCCTGGGGTGTCTTGCTCTGGATCTGTATTGGTTGCCTAGGGAAATTCAGAAATGCTTAATATGTTTAGTATTTTGTTGGTTTACGTAGGAGTTGGTGGGTTGTGAGTAATGGAGACTAATATAGGCTTCTAAAAAAAAAAATAAAATCCTTAACCATGAGGGCACAGAATAAGAATTTGTAGTATAAAGGACACAAGCTTAAACTCATAAAGAGAAAAAAAAATAATTCATTGTAGATTAAGAGAAGAAGGTTGAAGATGGCTTTCAGTAATGTCAACCTGAACTTTATTTGGAAATACTAGTCAAATAGTAATGGATTTACTATTCGTGCTGTTGATACTTAATACTAGCATGTATTTGCAAGAATTACGGTCTTTCATAATGCAGTAATATGTCAGTATTTGAGGTTTCTTCATCCTGAACTTCTCTTGCTCTGTTACTTTAAAGATTTTACAAATGCTTTTACTGTTATTAGGGAGCTGAATTAAAAGGACAGACTGGCAAACTTTTCAGCCCATTTATGGTATTGAGCCAGATAGGAGGAATAGTTGTTCTTTAAGGCTGTGATGTCATATTAGAGAACTCTGTCAGCTACATTGTGCTCTTATTTCTTTTTCACATTAAAAAGGTGATGTTGAACTAATAAGAATGTCAGAAATAGTAGAAAAGAACAGTCTTTTTAACAGTCCTTGTCTTTATTACTAGAAAAAGACAGAAATAATGAGGTGATTAATATCTAGTTATTACAAACTAATTTTAGCTACTCCCTTTTCAAAGAAATGTTGCAGCCAGTTGCTCTTTTTAATGTGCAAAAGAAAAAGATTGGTGAACAGTAAGCCCATGCTAATTGCACAAGTGCGTTAGCATACATATCTAAAGTATGTATTAAGCTTCAAATGCTGTGTGTTGTACTGAACAAGTGTAGTGCAAACCAACGATAATGAAAATATACTGGAGTGGGCCTTGGTTTATCTCTGTTAGTGCTAATTTTGAATATGAAAGGAAAGTTACTGAGTTGTAACTCAGTATTTTTAAATATAGGCTTAAATACAGGACCAGATCCTGTGCATCTCGGGTCTTCGCTAGAAATTTGTTTTCTGAATGCAGAGAAATTGTAGTATGAGTTTTGCAGGTTTTGTGTTGCACTTGAATTTGTGTAAGCTTGTATAGGCACATATCAAATTTCCTAACAGAATCACTTGTGAAGGAGGGTTAAAAAGACGGATGTACCTGTGTATATTTCAGATTTTTTACCAGCCTTTGTCCGCGTTGCGTTTTTTCCTCTACATTGTTTTTAATTTTCAGCTGCCGTTATTGTTTTGTCTTCTCCCAATAATCGTGAAGGGTTTTTGTCTTGACGTACACATTTCTACACAAGAAAAGTCTATTAATCTGCATTCTGATATTTCTAGAGGTGTATAAGTGTATTGGTGTAAAAACTGTACAAAACAGAATTCTGGTAGTATGTTGGGTTGTTTTGTTGTGGGTTTTTGTTGGCTTGAGTTGTTTTGTTTGTTGGTTTTTTTTGGGAGGTTTTTTTGTTTGGTTTTTTTTTGGGGTGGGGTTTTTGACGTGTGGGGTTTTTTTGTGTTTTTTTTTTTGTTGTTGCATTGTTTGGGTTTATATTTTTATTTTTTAATTTAAAAAATTGTGTCCAATTTCTAGAGCAATGACAATGAAGAACGCCTGCAGGTTGTAAAACTTCTAGCAAAAATGTTTGGGGCGAAGGATTCAGAGTTGGCTTCTCAAAACAAACCACTTTGGCAGTGCTACCTGGGGAGGTATGTGTTGGTTTAGTTCCCTTCCTTAGGAGGAAAAAACATTCAGTGAAGTATAATTAAACTTTTTTCTTAAGTGATACAGCTAAGTGAGTTCCCTCCTGCTGCTTTATCTGAGATCTGACAGCTAATGCTAAAGCAATTATTTTGCATACATCTGCATCTGTGATTCTGCAGAGGAAACAATTACAAATCATTCCTTCTTAGTTCTCTTCCTTCCCCCCACCCCCAATTATCTTTATTGCCATTGTCAAGCAAAAGGAATATTTTATTTCTTCAGAAGTGAAACTATTCAATAATGGATTAATTCTAAAACAGCATCAAATGACATTTGCAGTACCAGGTGATACTACAACTGGTATTGAGGCTTTTATGTACAGTATTTGTATACTGTTTTCTATTTTTTAATGGTAGGAGTGCCCTTAGGGAGGTATGTAGTATTTACATTTGTGCTGCAAACACACTTAGTCTTGTTTTTGAAATGTTCTGCAGGTTTGAGGAAAAAAAAAAAATGTACAGCTGGACCTTGTAGTCAGGAGAAGCTTAAGTATGGCTACTATCATGAAAATGTTTTTGAGTAAATGAGGATAAATACTATACAGTATTACAAATGCAATAGTTTATGATTTAGCCTTCAACTGTATTAAAACCAGAGTCCTCAAAGAACTGCTACTTTTGAAAGTACAGAAACTTAACATTGCATGTCATTTGGGAAAAAAAAAAAAAAAACAACCAAACCCAGATTTAATTGGGCCTAAAGGAAAATGCTTCATTGTATTATAATGTGAAGCGATGTGAAAACTATGTTGTTCCTAATTATTGTTTTCAGCTAGGTATGAATCACATACATGTGTTTACTTTTTTCCCCAGGATTTTAACTAAATTATAATAGCCATGTAATTAAAGGAACCATTCTTAAAATCTCTTGAGTTTGAAAACAATGATTTTTGCTAAAACAGTTATTTCTTAAAACTGCTTTATTTGATAAATAAGTGTTTCAACAGCAAAAATATTCTAAAATCTAATTTTCAGTTTGTTTAAAACCAAGCATTTTGAGGATAGCTTGAAATGCATTGAATTTGTCAAAATGAGAATTACAAGTAACTCTTACATCAATAGTTTTGTTATAAAATTACTTGTATCAGAATTAAACATGAGCAAATACTGGTTTTCAAGCATCAAACCTAATTCATTGTTTCAAAAGGAAATATCACAGAGGTTGAAGCAATACATCTCAGTAGAAATTCGTACTAGGCTGGATGCCTGTTTGATGTCTATCATACAGTTTAAAGAGGGGACAAATACAGGCTTATAAAAATTTTAGCTGCTGATACATGGTTCATGGTCAATTATATGGATTATTACAGAAAAAAAATAGTTAAAACGTCAGACATCTTTGTAATAAATAGTTGTTATCATCTGCCTGGATGTTTTTCATGTGTACCAGGAGAGAATATTTCTCTTCATGTTTGGAACATGAATTAATAAATGAGTACAGAAATATTTTCTTAAGCTAAAGACAATCTCCTTAATACTGTGAAATCAGAGATGTTTTATAGCATGTAACTGTGCATGTGAAGCATAAAAATATTTTCAGAGGTATTTGAAATTGTGTGGAAATAAACTAATTGCTTTGGTAGAAGCATTGGTATTTTTGTTGTTGTTGTAATGTATTGTCTTGTTTCTAAATAGGTTTAATGATATCCATGTACCTATTCGTCTTGAATGTGTGAAATTTGCAAGTCACTGTCTTATGAACCATCCTGACCTAGCAAAAGACTTAACAGGTACCAGATTTATGATAACATTAAAACAGAATTTTAAGTCTCCTGGAAAAGTCAGGAAGGTTAGTCATAATCCTGAGTAATGTCAGATAAAGTGGAGGATGTAATTGAGGTTCAAGTTCTGAGTCACAGAGTCCCTGCCTTCAGTGCTGCCTCTTGAGCTGAGGGAGTTGTACATAAAGAATGCCTTAACTGAAGAGATCACTCTCTGTCAGAGCAGTTGTTTTCCCAACTCCTGTTGAAAGCACTATGGGATCAGGCAAAGACAGCCTGGCTAACCTAATGGTCATGGCATTTAGTAATTAGGGTGCAGAGTGGAGACCTCAGTTCCCCAGAGCCTAAATGTGTAAATAGTCACTGTTTAAAACATGACAGCAGTCCAGTTAACTGTGAGCACAGCTGTTGGTTCCTCCTTCAGGTGAAATACAGCCTGTAATTCAAGACCTCTGTAGAAAGCAAATGGTATGGATAAAAACATTTAGTAATTGTTGCTCCTGATGTCTTAATGAAAAAAGTGTAATTAAAGAAAATTGGATGGTTTGTTTTTTTCCCCTCAAAGTGTATACGGAGACTGTATCTCCCCCTGATCAATAAACTCCTATTTCTTATAATTTTTAGAAGGTAATATCCTTGTTCATTTCCTCTAAGGAGGGAATTTAAAGGGCTGTTAATTGCATGGGATTGCTCTCCTGCTTACTGAATATTTGTCAAGTTAAACACAAATACAGGCGGGCTAGAGTTATCCTGTAGTTGCCGGTATTGTTAAGCCAGCTTAAAAGAAATTTCTGGGCTTTCCAGAATGGAAATGGCAAAGATATTTCTTCTTTAATTATGAGAATTGTATTTTCAAGGATTTTTTTCTCTTTTTTTACATTGCTGAAAGACTTTGTGCCCCCTCTAATGGTATCCTCTGGGAAATGTAATTTTGCTTGCCCCTTCTCTCTCCCCACAGCGCTTGTCGAAGTCAAATTGTTGAAAAAGTTCTCTAATTTACTGGTGTTTCAGACCAGAATTGTTTTGTGCAATGGTGTTATTCTTGGCTTGGTTTTAATTTATTATGTGTCCCTGTGGAACACATCATTAAAACAATTTCGTAACCTCTGTAAGTGCAAAGCTTTACTTCTTGATGTGCTCTTTTGACACTTGTGCTGATTACCAGAAATGTTAATGGCCAGTATTTCAGATAAGACTTGAAAATTTTCATTGGTCATTGAACAGTAACCTCTGGTTATTACATTCAGAGTAAACTTCAAATTTCTAATGTTTCTTAATGTTCTCAGCGTTTCACTGGTGTATGCTGGGTACAGTGATCTTAAGTTCTGTGTGCATTTTCCTACCTGATTGTACTTCTATAACCTAAAATATGTACTTCTAGAAAGATAAATGAACTTTGCCATTTTATTTGTCAGATTTCTAGAAGGATGACAGCTGACATTTTTGACACTTAAGCAGAAATCTTAAAGTGTGGATAGTATAAAGATTATCAATGGTACCAAATAAGTAGCAATGGACCAAAATAATATAGAAAATTGTTTTAAGATTAATAAACTAGAACATGTCATAGCACATGTCTAAGTAAGCATTACAGCTTGGTCAAAGAGCATGCTTTTTAAGTATGTCCCTTGATTTGTCCCCGTTTACAATGCTTACACAGCTCACACTGGGGTGTTCCTGGAGCATGTGAACTAGATTCCTTGTGGATAATATAGAAGTTGTGGTCAGGAGTGCAGCTAATGTGCTCCAGCAGCCAAAGGGGATGGAGTATGCAGGCAAAGAGTAGCTTCTAGCCTAAAGTAAGACTTGAAAATGTACATGATGTGGTTATCGAGTTCTCAGTACTGTCTATTCTACTTGACAGATCCAATTCTGTTTGGCTGTTATAGTCACTAATGTAGACATAGCCTAATTACTAGAAGAAATAAGAAAAAATAAAGTAAAAATGTAATGCCAGAACTCCTATTTCTGTAATGCCAGAATTACAAAAGTTTTATATTCTAATATAAGGTTTTACTGATATTTCTCTTACAGAGAATGATTGGTTTCTTACTGTCAATGCTCAAACCAGTAGAAAGTCATGATTTCTGCTTCTGTCAGTTGAGTACTGTCTAGCGTAAGAAAAGTAGCTGAAGTCATGTACTTAAAATACTTACTTTTTTTATTCTCCAGAATATCTTAAAGTAAGGTCACATGATCCTGAAGAGGCCATAAGACATGATGTTATAGTCTCCATAGTTACTGCTGCTAAAAAAGATCTTTTGCTTGTCAATGATCATCTACTTAATTTTGTCAGAGAACGAACACTGGACAAGCGGGTAAGACATAAGTAGTCCTAACCATGGCTGTATGTTATATTTCTAGACTGTAATTCAGCTTTTTAAATAACAGCTACTCTAAAAAATGCTGAACTGATTTGAAAATGATGAAGAAAAACCAATATAATGTGAAAAATACAATATAATGTGGAGCAGTCTATTTAATGAGGCATCTTTTGCCCCTTACTTGAATGCCACATTTTTCATTGTGCTACATTTTTATTCAAGATAATATGTTATCAAGAAGTAGGCTAAAGCACAACAGCGCTGTTCCAGTTGTCTAGTTCTAGGAATTTTTTAAAATAAAATGAAACCCTTGTAAAACGTTCTAACATTTTTCTTAAGAAATTTTACAAGCAGGTTTCAAAATATATTGTAAATTACTAATGAAAAACGTGCCCCTATCAGAGCTAGCTAGTTTGCCTTCCTTTAATTAGATCACTGGGAGACTGCAAATCAGTGTAGTAGCTTTCAAATTTGAGTAGTATTAAAATTTGGTTTAACTGTGTTTGGTTATTTGGTCAAATTTTTGAGGTTGCTGTTTGTGTTAAAGCTGCTGATGCCAAACCTTTAAAATTAACATTATCACCTGCTTCTTTTTCATTTTGTGGCATGCTTTCTGCTGTTACACTGGTAACACAATCACAGATACTGAGTGTAGCCTGTGAGAAAGGGTGTTGGTTTAAATTTGTAACTATTCTGAATTCAAGATACTTGCATAGTATAACTGATGTTGAAAGGTTTAGCATAATAGATTTGATGCAATATATGTCCTGTTGAGAAAGTGTTGCAGTTAGAACTCAGGTTAATGATTTATAAATCAGATTATTCTGGCGTAGAATAGGAAATGCCTACCAGGAAATTCTGCAGTCTGAGTTTTGAATTGCTAAACTGGGTACTAGTTCTTTTTTTTTTTTTTTTTTTTTTTTTCAAGTGGAGAGTAAGGAAGGAAGCTATGATGGGACTTGCACAGATATACAAGAAATATTCATTACAATCAGAAGCAGGAAAAGAAGCTGCAAAACAAATATCATGGATCAAAGATAAACTCCTGCACATATATTATCAAAACAGTATTGATGACCGGTAAGTCAGTCATGAGCTAGGTGATTCTGTGGATAAGTGTGTAACTTATTATTCAGATTTGCTTTTTCCTTTATGCTTAAGTGCTGACAAGAAGGAGACTTGATAATCCTGTATGTTTTGATCCAGTGCATAGTGTAATCTTACACAGTTGCAGCCAAATGTTGTCTTGTGTTGTTTTCTTCCCTTCTTTTTTTTTATTGCTTAAAGGGCAAAAGTAATTCTAAAGGGTTAGATAGGTTAGGATACTTCAATGCTTACAGCTGTACTTCATTGCTTCAGTAAAGGAGATTTTCGTTTATATTTCAGTAGCTTGCTAATTTTTATGCTAAAATGCAGTAATTGAAATTGCTTTAACAATCTTGCTTTAGATTTGCATGTTGTTACATGATTTAAAGATAAGCCTAATAAATGTAGTGACAACAATTAAGGCATATCACTTTGCAGAAGATTAGTTTTTCTTTAATCATAGAATCATAGAATAGTTAGG